TTAGTCACAAATTGTGTACTTAAGGAGGACCGTATAGCCTTGATGATATAGTAACGTATCAGTATGATAAACCATGAGAAAAAAAAAACGTGTGTATGTAATAAGGTATGACTCAACTAACCACAAGCGTATAGGTCAGAGCCGCGAAATCGCATGGGAAGTTTAAGACTGCGTTTAAGATGCTGTTAAGAGAGAGGAAGGAAGAAAGCACGTAACCAAAGGTTGGATCTTATTGTGCTGGAGAAAAAAAAAAAGGTGTCCAATACAGCTATCGGTTTCTAATAATAACGTCATTATACGAATGGAATTTAAATTTAGCTACAATCGAGCGAACCGAACCGAGGTGAGCGGCACACCTATAATAGATGTACACACCATACAGTCACAAGGTCGCGAATTGAATGAGAAACGCGTGGCCATCGACGGGTACACACTTTCTTTCCCGCTATATTAATATACATATACACATACATCACCAAAGACTGACCGGTGGTAGGTACCGTTACGAGACCATCGAATTATTCACGAAAAGCCAACAACTCCTTCGTACGTGAGGTATTCTTTCAATTGCAATGGTACATGTGCCCCCCCCCCTCTTCTTTGGAAATGGAAACATGGAAAAATTAATTATTACCTGTCTACTACTGCACAAACACCCGCAAAAGCCGATCCAAGAGAAAATTGAAACGTACAACACTGATGTATACTTAACCCCGGGAAACGATAAACGATGAAGGAGAGAAATAAATAAGGGGAAACAAAAGAAAGCGGCGCATAATTGATGGTTAATAAAGCGGTACGCGAGAGAAAATTGATTTATACTAGAGAAGCTTTAAAAATGTCCCACCACTCGCGGCTACGGACCGAGCGAGAGCGGAGGGGTTGAGCCGGGAATTTGTCGAGCCGCGGATTATTATTCATGGGGTTAAGCCGTTCCCGATGGCGCGCCATTCGAGTTTCACTCGCGGGGGAGAAAAAAAAAAATATAACGCATTAAACGTGATAATAAACGCACGCGTATGTTTTATACGATCGACGCGGTGCTCAGATGTGCCCCAACGCGCGGAGATAAGGTGGTGATGGGCCCTTTTTTTTTCTTCCTCTGAAACACGTCGAGTATATAATGATCAACAGTACAAATTATTATGCCCCGGCCTGATGTGAATATTATCCGACTATATGTCGGAGCTGTATATTCAACCGCAGTATACGGAGGCTTCGTTCATTCGCGCTGCATGTTAAGTATATGCCTACTACCGGCTGTTCACCGCCGCGAGTCACGGCACGTCAATTAATTATATTTTTGTCCCGACTGACCGTTGTTATATGCATAGGTAGCGTATCCATGCACGAGCATCGATAATTTAATTTCCTCTCTCTTCCTTCCATGTTCATGCTACTAACAAATGTACGTACTTTTTGGTGCAACGCATTTTTTGTTTCTTTTTTCAATAATTTAGCAGAGAGGGGCGCGAGTACGGCACTAGAATCAACTGACCGGGGAAAATTGGCCCTACAACTTTTTATCGTTGCATCACCGTTTTTACCAAAAACACCCGCATCGGGCAGTTCTTTCGTTATAATCGAATAGCGAATGTACGTCAATAATATCTGCGTGGTACATAACAGCAAATTACACCGAGAGATGAAACCATATCTGCATCACCAGCCGATTGGACACATCCCAGCAAAAAACATATCTGTACAACAGTAACGTGCCCGGTATACACCGCAAAGTTCGCGCCAACACGACATTTATTGTTCACATGTAGGTGTATCCATACGAAACAGAAACACGTGAAAGAAGGAGATGGTGGTATAGATACTATGTCAGGCTCGCACGAGCTACGGCGATTCGCGGTTGAAAGGTCGCGAAAAGTAGGTCATGGAAAAACTCTTTTCCGTCTTTTTCTGGCTGTTTGTATCACAATGGATCGCTGGTATTCGAAAAGATTTGATCGAGAGAGGAAACATTCACATCCATCCACGCGAGAACAGCCAGAGGTGGTTATACTTTATATAGCCATTTCAATTTTCATGTATTTTTTTTTTTTTGTCCATCGTGGTATTTTATACGTAAAGAGGTCATGTATGTATCTATAACTGCAGTATTGTTTCGGCATAACTTGTGTACTTATGGGTGTTCATGTAATATACATATATATGATATCATCTACAAGCAGAGTACTGTTACTCGAGCTGTTACTTATACAAGTATACTTGAAAAATTTCCGATTTCGCGTGGGAATATGAATGTTTTTCATAAGTAGGTAAACGACGCAGGGTGTACCTATGTACCTACTCTTACATCTACTCGTACAACGAGGAGTTGCCTACAGAAGAAGTATTTCACAAATTGGAAACGATGTACACCCATTATTTTCTGTATACATTATAACAAGTAATCTACGCGCATTTCCAATGGATATATTTTCACGGTGACGAGTTATGTTTCAGTGATACAAACACGCTCAAATGAAGAAAGAAAAAAAAAAAAAAAATGTTGAAAAGAGTTAATAAATATATACTTATGAGGCGGATCGGTTCACCATGTGCCTGTACTTTCTAGTTTTAAATAAATCAGTATAGATACACTGTGCGTATTGACAAACAAGACAAACGCTTCTATAACTGTAATCATTAGCATAAAATGCGGGAGAGAAGGAGGGAGGATGACGAAACTTGGGCCCGACTATATGATATAATTAATTCAAGTTTCGGGCGCCGGTAGCTGTAATCTATACTTCATCAGATGTACAATGTATACAATATATTATAATCATGTGTTTGCCACTGCATCGTTATAACTCGTTACAAAATTTGTGGCACACCTATACCCATACATGTATTATCAGGCTATACATTTAAATTACACGAGGCAAATAAAACCCGCGGTGGCAAGTTTATCGATCGACCGCGCGAAGATGTGCAGTCAATTACAGCCTATAATGGCGATCAAATGAAACGCTTTGCCTAACATCGCTTCCGGTTCCCATGCACGCAACGTATACGTATTACAATTGTATCCCCAGCTCCTCTTAACTTTACAAGAAGAAACCCCCATGCACGTTGTATATATAAGTACACCCGCAAAATCAGGGTTCGATGGACGTTGGTTCGCCCACATCAATAGATGAAACGCCGCGCGTCGCTTTATAATATAATATACAGGTATACTAACTTGTGGTCGATAGGACAATCGGGTAAAAGGACTCCAGGGTAATATAATATTAATCCTCTACCCGTAATAATTATAAGAATTCACAAAAGGGCGCCAATAGTGTATATATTATATGTAGCTCTTAACGGGCTGTCGACGAGTTTTATGACGTCTAGCAATAAAAGTGAATACTGCAAGTAGTATATAATAATAAAAACAATAATATATACAGCCCGTAAGAAGCAGGAATGTCGCATAAGTGTAGAGGGGTGACAACGACTCGATTTTAAAGAAGGTACTCGATTTCTTTCTTTTTTTTTATATGCAAATCGTTGCCCATTACGGTACAATATTGTTGGATAATAAACCAAAGCATATATGTATATATTTTTGTTTGATACTTTTTTCTTTCACCAGAGACAAGAGAACGTGGATGCGGCCGTCACCCATCGTTTCAGAGAGTCAAAGTTAGCGCGCGTTGTATTCATAATGGTATAACGCATCACGTGCAGAACGAAGGAGGGGGGGAGGAAGGCTCGAATTTCCGGTTCGATCTGTGTAAAGCTCGAGCGGTGTGCGAAAAGCAAAGTACACCCATGTGCGCGTGTGCGTGTGTGTGTGTTTATTGATCGGTAGCTGTTGCTGCTGCGATATACATACAGCAGGGCCGTGGCCCTTGTTTCCAAGCCTCGGTCACATATATACATATTGTATATTATATTATATACATTATAGTGTGGAGTGATTATGTGTGTACTACGCAAGAGAAGGAGGGAGAGAAATATTATTGCGTGCTGAGAACGATCATGATTTTTGCCCACTTTGCTCTCTGTGCTCGCTGTTGACAGCTCGCGTATAATATGTATACAATAAAAAGCACGTAGTAGAGTTTGTGTGCGGTACATTTTATACATGTATATGTACTCTTTTTCTTCAACTGGATTTTATTAGTTCGGAAGGTATGTCCACGACGATACAATGTACGCAACAAATGTAATTCACGTGTGTATAATATATATATATATATATATATAGGTGAATGCAATTTGTAAAGAAATTTTATTACAAATGCATGTCGTTACGACGTGTTTTACGAGGCATGTTTATCACGTATAGGTAAGGGTCTCGGGTGCCTTTTCGGCCCCTTCGCTCGTGTGGTGGTGAATTCTTGGTTTCAAACGAAGCGCGGACTCTTTTGATTGACGATAACAGCGAGTAAACAATTTATACGCTGGAGCATACCACGTGTAGGTACTTTTATTCGTACACCGTTGCGCGCGCGCGTGTGCACACCACCTAATAAAGGTAAAACGAGGAGCTAGTTAGCGTATCGTTTTTCAATTGCCATCGCGGCCAACTATAACTGGTAATTACGCTACAGTGACGATGACGATGATTACAGCTCCTCTAAACTGACGCGAGCGCGTCTCTACTCGAGTGCATATAGGTACCGGAAAAGCATTACAACTCTGCAGTTTATGCAAGCACATCGTATACACTGTATTATGATGCATAAATCACGAAAGTTGGTAAATTTTTCTCATGCCGCGCGATGCGACAGAGTGTATACATATACTTATAACTTGCAGGAGTCCCAGAACGGCACTTTTGGAGCGCACATCCCCCCCTATATATATACACACACATACACTATACACTGTGGTAATGTGCCTATACTTGTGTGTATACGAGCAAAAACACTACATGTCTCTCGACGGGGAAAAATCCACGATGAGGGGCAAGAAGAGCCCCAGATGGCCTGTAAGTGTGTACAATTATAAAAGAGTCGAGTATAGGACGTATACGGAGGCAAAAAAGGTGGATCGATGGCGACACTAACCTCGAGCTCCTCGTAGGTGCGAAAGGCAAGTATGGCGAAGCCGTCGATGATGTCCTCCTCGAAGATCGGCTCCTTCGACTCTTTGATCGCCGCCTCCTTGCTGGCCGCCGTTGCCGCAGCAGCAGCAGCAGCGGCCGCGGCGGCTGCCTTCCTCTTGGCTTTCAGCCGGGGTGGCCTCGAGCGAGCGCCACGATCGGCCGGCCTGGGCTTGCGATTGCCATCGGCCGACGGTCTCTCGTCGTCGTCGCCACTGTGGCTATCCTCCGCCCCGACGCCTCCCCCCACGGCAGTGACAGCACCACCACCACCACCAGCAACAGCAGCCGTGGGATCCCGGTGGTGGTGCAAATTGTGTCCAGCACCGTGGTGGTGGTGGTGATTGTGGTGGCCGTGGTGGTGGTGGTGGTTGTGGTGGTGGTGGTGGTGGTGGTTGTGGGCCTTGGCGGCAGCAGCAGCAGCGGCGACAGCGGCAGCGGCTACGGCGGCCTCCCGGCTCTGCTGTAGCTGTTGCAGGTGGTGCTTGGCCTCGCGTTGCGCGTGCATGCGTTGGGCCCGCTCGCGGCGCCGGTTGCGCTGGCTACGCTGTTTGGCCTCGATCTCCATGCTGCTGCTGCTGCTGCGATTCGGGGGGCAGGCGGCAGCTGCAGTCGTCACCGCCGCCGCCACCGCCGCTCCTACTGTTGCTGCTGGCAGGCCTGCGGGGCTCGAGGCCGCCGCCGCCGCCGGCGCTTCACCTGTTCCTGTTGGCGCTCCTGGGCTTGGGGTTGTTGTTGTTGTTGTTGTTGCTGTTGTTGCTGTTGCTGTTGTGGTGGTGGTTGGGGTCGGGGCTGTTTGAACTGAGCAGCCGAGTCCCTTTAGCTGCTGTTGTTGTTGATAATGGTACTGCTGCTGCTGCAGCTGGTGATAAAAGAACGGATGCTGGTGGTGGTGGTGGTGGTGGTGTGGTTCGCCGGCCGGCTGCCGCTGACGCTCCTCCGCGGCAGCGGCATCGCCGTTGCTGGGATTGTTGGTGCCGGTGTTGTTCCGTGCGCCGGCGGTGGTGTTGTTCGGGCTTGGCTCGCCGGTTAAAAGCTTCGGGTTGTTGGCGCCACCTATGCCGGGGGTCTGCGTCGTCGCCTTAGCCGTCGACGACGCCTCCTCCTCCTCGCGCCTCTTGCTCTTGTACACGACGTTGTACACAATTTTTACTTATCTCGAGGCAACCAGCCTCGCCGCTGGCCTCACGCTACGGCACTCCGCGCGGCCCGTTTTCCTCGGCTCCGGGGCCGAGGCTCGGCCACCTGCAGGGGCGACGAGGTACGCGCGCGCCTCGCGATTTCTTTATCCCTGTTGTTATCGGCGACGAACAACAACTGACACCAACCACGCACTTTTTTTTATACAAGCACTACCGATTTAAATCGGCGTTTCACTGATTCACGTATGTGTGTGTGCGTGTGTCTGTATAATTAATACGAAATCAGACACTTTTGGACATTACGGGGTGTCACTCGCAGCAACGACGGGAGGACAGTGGCACTGTTGTTCGATCAAGGGGAGCTGGAGGTGTCGAAGGAGATCTACGCTGCTCCAGGCATCGGTCCCAGTCAGTTATTCCCTTCTTGTTCGGTTCCTTCTTTGTCCGGCAGTAAAAGTTCCGATGAGTCTGAAAAGAGCAAAACGACAAGGACGTGAGTCTCGTTTATTCGTTGGATTTTTTTTTTTCCTCTTATAACTAAGCGTCACGTGGACAACGATATAGGTGTTATCAAGGGGATTATGTAGCACGCAGGTGTTACCGTCCGTTTGACAACGTACTATACGGCTCTCTTAGCCCAAGTGTGTACAGCATACATGTATATATAGGCTCTCTTTCGCACTTTTGTGCACCTTGGTTTGTTGGAGAGATTTTTTTCATTTGCGTGTGCTTGATTGGATTTTTTTTTTTTTTTTTTTATAAGTAGATCCGGTGGTTTTTCAGCTAACGCCTACACGAGAATTAACAGGTGCTGGCCGGTTTGAAGGTGGTTTTCCCTGCGATTAGTTTGTTCTCTCTCTTTTGTTTTTAATGACAATGACCATTTCGTATACATTTATTTGTTTATTTCTTTTATCGATTTCATAGCCCATTAAGACTCGCTAACAAGTGATAAAGGAAAAACCAGCAAACGTTGTAATGGAGGAAAAAAAGAAAAAAAAAAAAAGATAAAACATAGTTTAATTACATATTGTACTTGGCAAAGCCCACAAAAACGCTAAATACAAATATGATATAAATATTCGTTTCGGCCTTTGGACCGCCCGTAGGGGGCGCCTCTCCAAAAGATGGGACGCGTCGCACCAATATATGCATAAAAAGAATGAAGGTACATAAAAATATATAAGTTAGAGAGAACGAGCGTAAGTATCTATATATGGACGACGAGGGAATAAAAAAGGGCACGGCTTTTTCACGATTTCCGGGGTGGAGGGGAGCACAGCCATTTCTTTTTCTCTCCCCTCTGCCCCTTCCATTGTTTACGACTCTCATTCACTCCCCTGGCGCGCCTCGAGTGCACACAATCATGTACATATACACTTCCCGGTGAACTGTGTGCTTTTTTACACATATACACTCGCGCCCTCCGGTGCACTTTAACGTTCATTCATTATCTCGCTAATTAGCCGTTCAGCCTTGCCGGAGCGGTGACTCGATTTTCGGAGTTTAACACTCTTTTTTTTTCTTTTCTTTTCTTTTTTATACCTGCAGCAACCTGCGGTACGCCGATAATTACGATTCGTTTATACTCCCCACCCCTCTATATACATACGCAGGAATGCGAGATCTCTCTCTATGTGCCTTGAATGTACGGTACAACCGCGAGGTATTGTTTACACCGTCTGATTATTCGGGAATTTAGCGCGACTCTGAAACAACGTGATTTCGCGAGCAAAAAGAAAAAAGAAAACAGTCTCCGTGAAAAGGCTTGTTCAGAGAGTATTAATTATACGAGTCGCGCCGGTACCTTGGCACTGATTCAAAAGCTGCAACATTGAGCGAACGAAAAGGGAAAAAGTTGGGGAAACTCGAACGTTGTATCTCCCTGTCTATCTCCGAAGCAGAGAGAGAGAGAGAGAGAGAGAGAGAGAGATAGAAAAACAAAACTGCACCATCGCGTGTGTCGAGTACATTGCATTACGAAACGTATGTCCCCTCCCCCCGTTGGCCGTGTAGTAAGTACAAAAATAAAATGTCATCATCGCGATGGCAAAGGAGTCGCAGGAAAATAAAAGAGAGAAAAGACGAAGAAGAGATCGGCGGCAAATAACGAAGACGCGTCGACAGTTTTCATTACTCGGCGCTGGATCTCATTAAAAGAATTTCATAATGAGCCGTCATTTAACATCGGGCTGTCATCGGGCCCACCTCCCCCTTTCTCTCTGAGAAAATGCTTTTGATCCACATACGCGCGACTGCCCGACCTTAATTTCACACGGAGGCACTTCACGCCCACACCTCCGCTTATTATATATGGTACGGACGACACACACATTAGACTATATAGACCATTAGCAAACTGCATGCATCGTGCCAAAGAAACTCTATTGAGGCGTCAGAGAGAGAGAGAGAAAGAGTTGAGTATACACTTGTATTAATACGTAGCGTTTGAGCGTGTGTTACGTCAACGAAAATCTCGAGATCTCTCGAATTACGCGCGCGAGGTGCAGCTATACATACATAAGTACCCAAGTTAGTGTACACGAGGGGGGGGGGGAACAGTATAGCATTGTTTTCTCCTCTCTTTCTCCCTGTCTATTCGCCGGAGAGTTTGCGCTTGCGAAATCCCGTTTGTCTCCTCTTCGCGCTCTCGCGTTGACACGTGGCTGCGGCAGCGCAACAAGAGACCACGTTTAAGCTCATTTTCTCCCTAATGCGTGCATGTATGTAATACGTATCTCCAGAGGAGGGACACACGTGAGCGTTTGTGTGTACGCAGGGCGCACTTATCCCTCGTCGGATCGAGAGACGAGCTCTGATGTACTCATTCATATGCAGTTGTAACTTTTTTTTTTTTTATCTAATCCCTAGTGACGTCACCTGGATCTGAAAAACCGCGTGTACGACTATCAGGGCAAACTTGAACGATTTCAGCAACGCGTGCGTGTATACACATATATTATAGGCAACAAAAAGCGCGAGAGAGAGGTTTTGTTATCGTTCGATCGTCGCTCTGATGTAATTGTACGGCAGCACGTCTCGATCGATCGATTTTATCAAACGATTCGGGGCTCGAGGCAAAATTCACGATCACGACGAAAGTTCCATCGAGCGTATAATATATATATAGGGTGTGCTTTAATGAAAAAAAGTAGGGTGGAAGGAAGGAAAAAAACAAAAAACAAACAAGACTATCCCTTCACAGCGTGTCGCTTCTTTTCCTTCCTCCCCACGGATCCCCGCATCCATTCGATTCATTTGTCAACACGAGTCGAGTCCTAATCTCCCACCTCCCCGGTCGCTGTTGGCTGCAACCCCCTCGAAAAACTCCCCCGTAAAGCAGCAGCGATTTCTCTCTGTACCTCCGCGTATATTGTCCTCGTTAATTTTTTCCTCCGCGTATAAGTATGTACAGGGCAAGTGAAATCTCTCGAGGTATGATTTTACAGCTGCAATTGCTACGCGCTGTTAACGAAATCCGGGGAAAAAAAAGGGCGATCAGAGACGGGAATGGGAGCGATAAAGGAGCTCTCCGAGAAATCGAAAGTCCGTAAATACGCTCGTTCACACGTTGCAATGTGTTTACGTGTAGTCGACGAGGAGCCGAGAACTCGGGGAGTTTACCGTTTGACCATCGCGGGAATTCGGAGTCATTGCACCCAACGACGACGCCGACGACGATACGGAAGAATTTAAAAGAGTCGCCCGCGCGTAAGTGTACGTATTTCGAGTGATCCGACGGCAGGCGCTCTCGCGCACATATACCCGTCCGACGGCCGTCGCCTCGCCGTGTATACTCATCAATCTATATCCATTGAAGGGGACACTTAAGCGGTGCTTATAACATTTTTTTTTTTTTTGCTATATCGCTGACAAGTATAGCTACACTTTATGAGTCATAAGATTACGATTTGTTCCCTGTAGAGCATATTGAACGTGTAATTACACTTTTGTTTGATGAAATGTGTATATTCCGTTCCTTAGGTCTGCTATGAGCCGTTTCAAGCAAATAAATCGACAATACCTATCCATCTTCGGTATGAACTTCACGGCCGCGACAGGGGTGCGCGCCGCGCATCGATAAAAGACGCGATAAAAAAGTGAGAGATTGGCAGGTAGGAGCGTCTATTATGTTTACATTCGGCTGGATGGCTATTGTTTATTTTTTTGAGCTACACGTGATTGCCTATTTTGTTTTTTTTTTTATTCGCACAAATCCGGAAAACCGGAGGGATAGCGAGTTTCACGGTTATTATACATAGTCTGCGGTCGATATGAGCCGCTCGTCGTTAGGATGGACCGGCCTGTGGGCGACGAAACATTGTTTCACGCGAACCGATGCCGCCGAAACAAACGAGAAGGAAAGATGAGCTGGTATGGTGGTAACGATGTTGTGCGAGGATACAATATATAATATAGGGGAAGGTAAACGGGAAGACCAGGAGCTGACGCGTATGCTGGTTGTTCCCGAGGCCACAGGTTTACACGCATACAATATGATGCACATACACCGCAGTGAGTGCACGTACAGGAGAACGAGGCGGAGGAGGAGAAAGAGGAGGAAAAACCGGGAATTTTTTTTCTTTCTTTTCACGATTTACCATTCCTTTGGGTGGTAATCATATTCGAACACATAACGTCCAAGTCGGCTGTATCTAATACGAAAGATAAATACAAAGGAGGAGCACGAGGGAGGGTGCCTCTCTCGCTTATCTCGCTCTTGTTATCTTTTGCCAGAGAGCTCGCAGACCC